GGAGACCGCCGCTTGCGGCTCCGGGTCAGGAACAGAGTAGCCCGCCGATTGCAGCTCCGGGTCAGGAATAGAGGAGACCGCCGCTTGCGGCTCCGGGTCAGGAACAGAGTAGCCCGCCGATTGCAGCTCCGGGTCAGGAATAGAGGAGACCGCCGCCTGCGGCTCCGGGTCAGGAACAGAGGAGCCCGCCGATTGCAGCTTCACATCAGGGACAGGGGAGTCCACCGATTGCGGCTCCACATCAGGAACAAAGGAGACCACCGACTGTGGCTCCAAATCCAGCAAGGGAGAAACCGCCCATGGCGGCAAAGGTTCAGTCTCTGACGAGGCTTGTGATGCTCGCGGAGGACTCTCGGCGGTCAGGGGCGCCTGCAGAAAGGTCCTAGGAGGTGTAAAATCACATACCTCGAATTGAAACACCTCTTTAAAGTTCTGCTCAGGGGTCTCTGGACGGCACAGAGCTAACTCAGGTGTCTCTGGATGGCACAGAGCTAACTCAGGGGTCTCTGGACGGCACAGAGCTAACTCAGGGGTCTCTGGAAGGCACAGAGCTGACTCAGGGGTCTCTAGATGGCAGAGCTGACTCAAGACGGCTCAGGGCTGACTCAGGGGTCTTTAGACGGCTCAGAACTGGCTCAGGGGTCTCTAGACAGCTCAGAGCTGGCTTACGGCGAGAGCTTATCAATTACGGCGACGCCGTCTCTTACGTCGGGGTTCGTTGGGTGCTGGGTTAATAGGTTGAGAGACTGACTGTGGATAAAGGCTAACTGGTGTGCAAGTGGGTTCAGGTGCAGGTTTAGCTGAAATGCGAACAGGCTTAGGAGTTGGACTAGTTGGTTCATGATGAGGTGACAAGAAGGGGAACAGATCATCTCGATCCCCATAATAAAAGTTCCAGAGGTCTGACTCGTGGATTACAGGAGCTCTGACTGTTTGGGTTGTGACTTGTGGTTTGATTTTAAGCTTCTTAATGGATGGTGCTAACTGATGATCATGTAAGTGGTGGCTGAACTGGACTGAACTGGGCAGAGATGGACTGAACAGGGCTGTACAGAGCTGTACTGGGCTGGACTGGACAGGACTGGACTGGACTGAACTGCGCTGAGCTGGGTTGGACTGGGCTGAGCTGGGTTGGACTGGGCTGAGCTGGGTTGGACTGGTTTCCTAGACCTGGGTTTGACTCTTGTGCATAGTCTGTGATCAAGATATAAGGTTGTGTGAATGAGCTCTTCCAGGGTTTCAGGTTCATCTA